ACTGGTAGCCATGTTGCTTATCTCGAGTTGTGATAACAATAACTGCAGACAGTTGATCCCGGGGGCCGAGTTTGCTAGCTCTGATCAGACCGCGACGCAACAGCAGTGCAGCTGACTTTGAAATTGCTGGTTTTAAGCAAAAGCTCCCCTGGCGCTACTTTGGGATCCGATAGGGTAATTCTTGGGATTTCATTACATAATCACTATTCCCATTGTATTCCAAGACCGCAAATCTCCTTGTACATATTAACGTCTTGTTAAGTGCGGGAGTAGTCTTAACTAGGACCTCTGGCAGCAACTTCATTTTGGGGGCGGCGCTGAACATCTGAGAGGCAATTCAATCCGTGGAAATTCCTTTTAGAACTATGAATTATCACTATGCTCTGGCTTGTAGTTTGAGCGGTCCTACGATCTGATTTATTTGGTCTCTTGAAAGTATAGACGTCTACAGGGCAGTCTGGATGGCAACGCAGCCTCTCCAAGCCAGCAATACGAAACCGCTGGATGTTGGAAGTGGTCAAGAAGCCGAAGAAGAAGAGTTGAAACTTAGTGCGGCTACTGAGATGGCAATTAAAGGTATTTATGCTTTTACGCTACCAGGTATGGCTGTTTAGCTGATTCCGGCAGGGAATTCTACAAATTTTGAAATGCATAAGTAGTTTCAGCGACTAGAAGAAGCCTTATGCAGTGCTTGGTTTATTGTTCAGGATTCCTTCGTGATGAAAGTAGTATGTTATAGAAATGTGCCACACCGAATTTTGCCGCCCTGACCAAGAGCTGACTGCGCAGATCAATGAACTTTTCCCAACAGAGCAATCACTGGCTCAGCTAGATACAGTAATAGGTAAGATAAACCTCATCGTCCTGATCTGAAGTGGAAGTTTAGACCCGTTTTGCAGCTGCCGTGGAGGCTGAAATCCATGATCTCGACGTAGAATTGGCAGCCTTGGTAGAATCACATGACGAGGTTGGAGCACAGGGCGAGGCTGCTTTGCAAGAGGTAATAGTTTTTCCTGTCCCCATGTCTATTGCCTGAGTAATCTTACATTCGTTGCTTGTTTTTTATGCTTAAATTGGATATAGATCCGTTTCCATTTACATTTTATATTCATGCTTGATTTCTCAGCTTACAATTTCTTCATTCCAGGCACAGAAAGCAATGTCAGAGTTGGAACGTCGAATCGACAGTATACGAGGGAAAACTAGATCGTCTGATGAGGTAGTTTTAAGAGAAGGAACATCGAATTTCTGTTTTTACGGCCTGTTAGCTTATCCATTACTTTCTTATATTTTTTTCCTTTTTTTCAAAGTCGTCTTTGAGACGCGACACTGCTTATGGTCTTAATCGGAAGCAAGAATCGCGTCTTCTTTTTTTGTCTTTCCCTTTTTCGGTTCGTCAATGCTCCTCTTTTTGCCTTTTCACTTCTTTTGTAGTGATTCCCTTTATCTTTCCCATCGTAGTCACTCTAATCCCTTTAACCTTCTACTATTCCAATCAGAGCAAGTTATGTTCGCAGTACTTATCGTGAATTTTAGATTGTTCGAGAAATGACGAGAGATATCAAGCAATTGGACATTGCAAAACGAAATCTGACGTCATCTATCACTACTTTACATCATCTGCATATCTTGCTTACGGGTGTTGATTCATTAGGTACTGAATCTCTTTTCTTACCACTGAAACTAAATGTGTTAAATTTTCTTGTTCTTGGGGAAAAGATGTAGGAAGTCCTTCGTCTTTATATCTTACTTTTTTATGTGGGAAATCGCATGAAACATGGAAGTCCTTCTTCCTGAATTAAACAGCTTAGTTCCTGCCATTGACACTGTTTTCCGGTGGTAACTACTTGCGTGTGAGGGCTTTGCAAATCCTCAAAACACAGGTCATAACCTCAGCGAATGTAGCCCTGTATTTGGTTGAGACTCAGACTGCTCATCTTTATTTATCCAATGTCCGCGCGTTTCTTCTTGACTATACAGTCAACTCTCCGCATCTGGGTTGATGAACTTCAGCCTTTTTTGCGCCTGTATGAGAGCATTGCAGCGGAAAACTCATATGTCTCTGGCCTCTGTGTTTGTTTAGTTTATGGTTCCACCCCTTCACCTCAAACTATGTGTCCATCTGCTACGGGTGGTCGGCAGTAAAAACGAAAAAAAAATTTAGAAATATACTACCTTCTAGTCCCTCAATGCAGCGTCAGTGTGGCGACTGATTGCCTCTGCTGATCTGGGATTGTAGTCATACGGCAGACACTTGAGGACATATGTAGAGCAAACGAAACTTTGCTCCCTTGCTGAAACTGGGTCAGCCGGAACATTGTTTCAAACAAGGTTTTGTGCAGACAGAAAGGGTGTTCCTTTGGAAATGGAGAGAACTTCCTCTATATCCTTACAGTTTCAGCAAGATGTCCATTTGGTCTAGATTGTCTATTATTATTTGGTTCGAATTCATTTGTATTTTTTTGTAAGCTATGATCATAGTTTTTCAGCTGTTTGGGTGGATCAACGTGACTACGCTTCTATTGCCAGGCAACTACCTGCAATACTCAATGTTTTGCAACTGTTTGATGATTTTCAAGAAGTCGAGCAGATGGCAAAGATAACCAACAGGCTCAATAAGTTGAAACAGGCTCTCACGGTTCAGCTAGCTGGTGACATGAAGGCTGTTTTCCAGGTAACTTTTGTTTTTCTTTACTTCACTTTTCTATCTTGGTAACTGGCCTTTCCTTTATAATCTTTTGTTATTTGTACTTTTTCATACCTAATAAAGTCGGGTGGTTGTTAGGCTGGGCAGTTAAGTGAACGAGTAACTGATATGTGTCGAGTGGCAGCTGCCTTGGAGGGAAGTGTGAAGTCAAATTTCTGTCGTTGGTTTATTGACCAGCAATTGTCTGAATACACTGTGCTATATGCAGAGAATGAAGAGGGAGCGTGGCTCGATAAAATTGAAGAAAGGTTTGTTTCATGGTTTTCTGTTTCTTTCACCTCGGTTTCAGTATCCTGTGGCACAAAAGTTCCGCTTTCCTAGAAGTGAAATGAGCCAGCACTGATTGAGAATGTGTCAGGTATAAGTGGTACGTACGCAAATTGACGGATTTCGAAAGAACGGGCCTCGCCAAAGTCTTTCCGCCCGACTGGGATATGGGACGGTTGATGACAAAGGAATTCTGCAATGTGACAAGGTGAGTGTTCTTTACCACAGTGTTGTTGCTAGTTCATACTCACCTTGATCTACCGTTCAGTTTCTTCCTGTGCTTTTTTCTATTTGAAAGCCAATACGGTAAAATCTTGTCTTAATGCTTTCTCTTCATTCCTATTCATTCCCTATTATTTGCCCTTCATGTACCTGACGTTTTCACTTCGTTTTTTGTATGTGTTAATCACTGTCAAACAAATGTTGGTTTAGAGATGTTTTGTATCGAATGATGACCCGTCGACGTCCTGATCTGGATTTTCGCTTACTTGGTCATGCTATTCAACACACAAGAATGTTTGAAGCTCTGCTCATCAAGAGATTTCCATCCAAGCCTGATTTTAATTTTGACAAAGTGAGCATCTCTAGTAACTGTAGTAATGGAGACATGCGAGGCACACTTTTCATTCAGGCGATTTGGAGTGTCTTTGATTCGTTCCTCGATGTCTTCATAAGCGCTCAAGAAAAAACTCTGAATCAATTTCTGGAGGACTGTGCAAATAAGATCAGGTGAGTCGTACTTGGTGCTAAATTGTTTTTTATACTAAAAGAATGTTCCTTGGTGATTTCTATGAGGTTACGTCAATATTCTTCCAAGCAATCTCTTTGTCTCCCTGTGTTTGAGTTCAATATAAAGTGTGGGTTCTCGTTCAGGTCCGGTTCATCAGCTGAGGTTCCTTCTCGAGAGTGCTCCACTCACGCAGTTCCATTCTCATCATCTGCTGACATGTTCTTACTGCTCAAAAAAGTTATTACTGAGTGTAGTAAGCTCAGTAGTGAACCAGATGCTTTATTGAAGTTAGTCCCTTACTTATTGACCTCTCTCCCATCAGTATAGCTCCCATTCCCTGTAAGTATTCCGCATCCGCATCAAGCTTAGCTGGTGTTTTTCAGAGATGTAGTGGGCGTCGTTCGGGTTTGTCTGCGTAACTATGCCCATGGATGTTTAACAGCATTCTTACCCACAGCTCATGGACAGCAAAGTGGAAGCAGTACGGCGAATTTATTCAATCTGATACGGGAGGATACGACTGTTTTACGGTCAGTCTATAAGTCTGGAGCCAATTTCATGCTTCAGCTATCAGTGCCGCCTTCAATGTGGATTGTTGAAGTTTCCGACCATTTCAGATTGAGCGCCGATCAACAGTTCCTCACCTGTTGTATATTGGCGACAGCAGATTGGTGTGCAGAGACGACCTTACAACTTCAAGAGAAGCTTGCACAGAGGCTGGCTGTGAGTCTTCTTACGTTTAATTCTCACTTTGATTTGATTCCTTTGGTGTTTTCATATAATTAATAAGGTTTTTTGTGAAGTTAATCCTGAACGAATTACTTTTGCTGAAACAAATCAAAAATTTGTTTTATGAAGTTGATGGGCCACTCACTAGGCTATGCGTGGGACTTGCGTTGATCAGCGGTGATATATAGCCTAAACATTGTTGATGGGTAGATAACTATCCTTACTCATGTGGATTCAGCATGTTATTCAGGGAGTTGACCTGAGTCAAGAAATGGAAACTTTCTATGGAATCACCAATCAGGCCTTAGCCGTGCTAGTGCAGGATCTTGAAGGAACTTGTGACACAGCACTTCAAGCTATCTCAAAGATCACGTTGGTTTATGATTATGTTTTTCTTACCCTTGGAACTTTTTAAACGACCTGCTTTCAGGTGGTCAACAGTAGACGGTGTTGGTGATGAGTCCCCGTTCGTAGGTGCAATTCGATCGCATCTTCGCGCTGCGATACCTCGACTTCGTGATCTGTTATCCGATAGAAGGAAATATTTTGCTCATTTGTGCTTGAAATTGGCTACGCAACTATCTCACAAGTTCGTAGGCGCGTTGTTCAGGTGTAAGCCGATTAGCACTCATGGTAAGTGTGTTAATTCTCAGTTTCCTACAGTACTTCTCCTGCACAGAGTGCTTTTCGCAAACTTATCATTAACAATGTGTATAAGGAATCGGGATGGATAAGAGCGTGGAAGAAGTATATTCCGTTGTATGATCCATGATCAGTATTTGAGCGATTTCCGAGAAGTGTCGTGTTTTCCTAGAAGAGTATGGGAGTGTTAAGATCGAAAGTAGACATCCCTCCGGTATACGAGTTATGTAGATACTTGTCTCACAATTTTAGGTGCCGAACAATTGCTGCTTGATACACATTCTCTGAAGTCGTTCCTCCTTCAAATGCCTTCTATTGACAGTGCAGTAGCTGCAAAGCCGCCAACGGCATACGTTGGAGGTGTGAGTGCAGCATTGAATAAGGCGGAAATGATCCTGAAGGTTAGCATGTGTTAACGAGTGATTAATTATTTGATGGCTATGCTTTTATATTTCAACTCTATCACCTGGTAATCCCCTTGGTAATAGTTTTTCTCAAGGAATTCTACCATATTTAATGCCCAATTAATACCGTAATTGTTTGGATCCTATATATTAGCTTCAGTAATTTCAGGTAGTAATGTCAAATATGGATACACCTGAAGATTTCGTGGAACACTATTCAACTTTGCTGCCAGACTCTAATACTTCGGAATTGCAAAAGGTGTGATGCCCACTTTTATGCCTTTTGTTCGTTTTATGTGAAAATCCAAATGTGCGAATAACCAATTTCGTAAAAGCATCGCCTGGAAAGGTTCGGTACAACGAAAAAAATTTGGTGCTCATTCTGAAGTTTGTTAAATGAGTATGGCGTAGTTTTAGTATCTCCTTGTGTTGTGCCCCCTGTAATACCTGATGAGGTGTGGTGCAGGAGGACACCTTTATGGACAACCCTTCAATCTTGTCATAGAGTGTATTTTCGAATTGCAGTATGATCCTTTCTTTTCAAGGTTCTCGATATGCGTGGTGTGAAGAAAGTGGAGCAGACTGCTATCCTACAAGCCTACAGGCAAGTGTTTCTATCACAATCTTTTTATATTTTGACAATTTTCAAAGATATTTTGTTTTAAGGCAAAAGTTTGGAGCTGCTGCTGATGCTGCGCCAACGGTTCCTGTCGGAATGGGCAATGCACTATCTGCAACGCAGGCATTGAATGCTGTCGTGTCGATGGCAGCGGACGGGTTGGCCGAGACGACAAGTATGAGGAGACTCGAAAAGCTTGTCAAGAGAAATTTTTAGAGGCTACGGACTGACTGATATCAATGAAATAATTGAGATGACCATCTGGGAGCTGCTCTGAGGCCTAATGTGAGGAACATTGTTTAGGAAGATCTATACTTGCCAGCCAGGGGGTCTGCTTATTCTGCTGCCGGCTTTTTGGGTCGAAGAAAGCGTTGAAAT